GGGCGGCGGGAGCGGCGGAGCGGATGCCATTTTGAAACCTCCGGGGCTGTGCCCCCGAGGCCGGCCCGCGGGGACAGTCAACAGATGGGCCCATAATGGATGGACACGCTGTTCCTCGGCCACAGGCCCGGGCATGAAAGGCCTCGTTTTTCACAGCCCGGGGGCCCATGGCAGGTCTGGGGCGAGGGGCCACCCCCCCCAGCACTAGCCTACAACGTTTTGCTGCTGCAAGGGCCTCTTTCCCCCCTCCCCGCCGCAGTCTGAAACCCCCCAAAATCAGACTTCCACTGCCACACGCAGCTCCCAGTGGAAGCTGGACAGCCACCCCCCGCCAGGCCCCCGTCTGTGCAAAAGGCTGGCCAGGATGCTCAGAGGCATCCAGGCCTACCCTGCTGGCCCCCCACCCATCCTTAGGCCTGACTGCCACTCCCCCTCACGGTCCCCCGAGATCTGAGAGGCCCACCTGCCCTCCGAGGCCACATCCCAGGCCTCTGGGCCCAGAAGGGTTGTGAAAAGCCATGCACCATCAGCAGATCTCCTCGGCCCGCTGCAGGGGCAGCAATATGTCGGCTGTCTCACCACTTCCACTTCCCCCCACCCCTCCAGCAGCCACCATCTTCCCTGGCCTTGGAGGCGGCCACAACCCCAACTCCTCCACACTCTCACCTCTTCCTTACTGCCCCATCACCGGCCCATACGGGCCTTCGAGAGTGGGAAACAGCCCACAGGACCTCCTGGGCAGATTGAAGCCCCTTTTCCGCTATGACCCATGGAACCGCAGTCGAGCCCCTGGGTGTCTGCCTAACCAGCCTGAGGCCTTGCCTAGCCCCTGGGTCCCCTCTTCCATGCCCCTGGACCCCCTCTTCCCAGCCCTGCCCACCTGGTGCGGGAGGGATGGGGAAATCAGGGCAAGGCCAGAGTGAGGGAGGAGGGGGGACCAGAATGTTTGGGGGGTGTTGCGAGTAGAGGGGGGTGGGGGGGCTGGGTCTCTAAGGGGTTCCAGATGGGAAGAGTGCTCAGTCGTCAGATTCCCACTTGGTCCCTGGGGGGGTCAAAGTGCACAGGTGGAAAATAGATTCCAGAGTAGGGATGGGGTATGGAAAGACGGAGTGAGTGGGAGCCTGGCGGGGGCTCTGGGGGTGCTCATGCCCAATAAGAACAGAGGGAGCAGGTGGAGGAGACAAGAGGGGCTCGAGTGTGGGGACCCAGGGTTCTGGGGACCTGGGGGAAGGACAAGGCAGATCTGAAGTCCACGAGGCTGGTTAGAAGGGTGGTCTGGCAGGCAGGGTTCTAGGCACCTGGGTCAGGGCACTGTCCACCGAGTTTGGGGTTTGGGCTGAGTTATGGATCTGACGTGAGTCTGGGCTAGGACTGGAGGTCTACACCCACTAGAGTTTCCGACCCTCCTGTGAGGTCTTGGCCAAGCCTGGGGATTCAGCACCAGCGTGGGGGTCCAGCTGAGTTTGGAGTTTTAAGTCCTGGAGTGGGGATTCGGGCCAGGACTCAGGGGTCCCAGAGCGGGGCGCGGCCTCACCCAACAGCAGCAACTTCACCTCCCGCGCCGCCTTCTCGCCGTCCTCCCGCAGGTTCTTGTCGATCATCTTAGAGCGCTCGGCCGCCGCCTTGTCCTCGGCGCTTACTGTGCAGCCCATCCCGCCGTCCGCCGGCCCGGCCGCCGCCCGGCCCCCACAAGGCCCACCGCCCGGGTCGGCCCCCGCCTGC